GTACTACATGGAAGGTTCCGGGATCAATTATTCACCAACATTACACTGTACGATGCTCTCACACCATCCGGATCTGGCCAATCAGAGCAGGAGCCACATCGTTTGTCCATGTATCCACACTTCATACAATACCCTCCTGGCAGTCGCTCTGCAGTGGTGTCAGCTATCAATCAACCGTTACGTCACCCAGGGCCTTCATTCAGCAACAGTCCTCACCAGCAGTGACATGCCAGACCTCACAGGAATCTCTCGGCCTCAGTTTCTTGGATGCTGGGGTTACAGGTGTGGTCAGCACCCAGCTGAGCGTGCTCCTTCTACACAAGACACCTTGAGAAAGGACTACGTTCTCATAACTGCCAATAAAGCTCAGCGTTAAAACTGGGGAGATTTTATTCACCGTGTCAATTACTGTGTCTAACGCAGCAGCTGAACTTCTTCATAAGTGTGCACATAAAAGTAGACTTATAGAAGCGTTCAACGGTAATTCCAGGCACCCACAGAATCCTCGAACTCACCACCTTGTGTAAGAGGACTACAGGATCTAAAAAGCGTAATACAAACACCAGGCCTGCAACTCCAGCCACCTGAGAGGATTGAACACTAACAGTTCAAGCAACTTAGGGAGACCCTGTCTCCAAACAAATAAATAGAAAGAGGGCCAGCTTGGTGGGGTAGTGCCTGGCAAGCATGTGGAAGGTCCTAGGTTCATACCCAACGCTGAAAGGAAAGACGGTAACTGTAACATAACGAGAGAAAGTAGAGCATGTGTCTGAAATGCAAGGCTGTTTTAACACTAAGCTTTGCCTACGTCATTCACAATGTTTATAAACAAAATGAGTACAGCCACGATTAGCTCAACAGACACAGAGAAAGCCTAAGATGAAATCCCAGCATCCACTCATGGTAAGGCCTCTCAGCAAACAAGGACACTTTCACAATGTCACAGAAGGCACGTGTCTGAGTTAGCTGCAACCTGACATAGCCTAGAGTCTCTCAGAAAGGGAGTCTCCCTGGAGGGATCACCCAGGACATACTGGCCCGTGGGCATGTCTGTAAGGGTCTGTCTGGATCGTGAATTCATGTGAGAGGGCCCAGCCGGCTCTGGACAGCACCATTCCTGGGTAGGTGGTCTAACTCCACCCCACAGCGCTGTCAGCTTCCTTTTCGCCAGAGTATCCACACATTGTATGCTACTCGCCTGCGGGTGACCTGACAAGCCTCACTGCAGCACAGGGCTGTTCGGCTACCTCAGGCATGCTCACGTTTCCACTGCCCACGAACACACTCACATTCTCCTGTTTACATGATCGTTCACACAAGGCGTCCACTCACCCTTCAGGCACACCATCGCAGGCTTCCATTTTTACCCTGTCCATCTGATAGCCTCACACAACTGTCACAGACTTCCACACCGACTCTGTTACTCACACACATTTGCACATGTGCATACAGTCAGCCCCCCCCCCCCAACAAGCCCACCAACTCAGCTTTCTTACGGGCGTGTCACCCAGTTGAGGCCAGTGCCCAGCCCTGGTCCATGACATAGATGCCCCACCACTCACTGCCTTCTCAACATCCGGGGACCATCCTCGCCGACACAGCTGTGCGGTCTGTGAACACGCAGGAGGCAACTTCCACGAGTTCGTGCCTGCTTGTGGAAACAGGACCATTCAATGCGCTGCGCCGGAGGCTGGAGTTTCAAGCAAACCCTTGAGCAGCTGCTTCGTATAAGCAACTGACACAGCCTGGAACTATTAGCTTTAAATTATGGAGTGCCTTCAATGGAACAGACCAGAAGCCAGAAAAAGAGTAGAGCCCAGAGACCCTCCTCACCCAGACTCTAACGTGCGCAACAGACCGCTATAACCGCAAACATCCTGTGTACTCCTAATACTGTGGTCATAAAGAAGACCCTCACACCACTGTTCACGCAGTAAATATCTGTCTCACAGCCTAGCTCTGACAGAACCTCCTATTGGAGGCTTCAGGAAGCCTGCGGCCTCCAAGTGCCTCCTAGAAACCAATCAGAGAAGACATGCAATCAGGGCCCTCATGGGTAGTCTGTGAGAGTTGAAACCAAATGACAGGGCCCTGCAAGTAGAGCGGGGCTGTGCCATGGTACATGGTGCATCCCAGGAAAATGCAAAGGGATTCAGGGAGGGGCGCAGCTGGAAAGCAAGTCCAAGAGCAAAGCAACCAATTGGTTCTTTGCAGGGGGCAGCAGCTCCCCCCTTGACACAAGGTCAGCCCGTATCTCCTAACAGATTGCCATTTCTTTCTCCATGTCCTCTGGGCAAGACAGTTGCACTTCGGTCCAGCAAACCTCTCCTGCCGAGTGCACAAGGCCTTGCCTGACCAGCCTAGCTCTGGGCCACACCCTGAGTCGCCCAGGGACAGCCACGTCCTCAACCGAGATGGCAGAGACAGGCTGCCCAGATGCCGCTGCCAAGCTCAGGATGGCTCCTAGCCAAGGGAAGAAAAGGGACCCTCCCCCACAGCCTCAGTGCATCTTATGGGTACCTCTAGCCTTCTGGCAGTCTTCTGGACTATCTCCGCTGGAGAGAAGTAAACTGGTCCACACCTGTAACCCCAGCGTTCGAGAGGCTGACATAGGGAGTCAGAGAGCATCCTGAACTAACAGTGAGTCCCCGCCTGAAGAAGGGAGGGAGGAAGCAAGGGAGGGGGACCGCCCCTGCAGCTGCTTTCTCCCAAGACCACCTTGGCAATCAGCTTGCTCACACTATGGCTCCCTGTACTGTGGGAGACAAGGGGACAGGGAGCCTGAGGGAACCTGAGGGGACCAGAGCAACACCTTTTTCAAGAGTTCTCTGAACCCAGCAAATTCTAAACATGAGGGAGCAGTTTGCTTTAAGTGACAACAATCAGGAAATTCCAAATTTCCTTCTAGGATACTGCAGTTAACCCCATAGTGGGGATGCTCTGGATGGGGGAGCAAGGGTCCCCTCAAGCCCAGGAGCTCCAGCTCTAGGCTCACCCCACACATAAAGGAATCAAGAGAAAGGAAGCTGCGTACCCCCTCCTGCCCTCCCAGGACAGGCTTCCTCCAGAAGCACCTCAAATAGCTGGAGAAAACCATTGATCTCTGAGATGCATTATTGACTGCACTGTCCATTAGCGCACAGTCCCACAGCCCCGGCCCGACACACCATGCCTGGGGTGGGGAAGGCCTCTCTGGACACCATCCATAAAGGGCAGTCTATAGAGGAGCAGCCATCCACAAGTGGATGATGTCACCGGGAACACTGCCCCGGCCCCAGACCCCTGAGGTAGCACGGTCCATCTCAGGCACCTCGACCCTCAGAGTCCAGGGCAGGCGGCCGGCCACCTGCCAAAACTCCGGCCACTAGGGAAGGGTCTCTGCAAGGCAGACTATGCACCAGCCAGAAGTCACTGGAGTCTGTAGACGGGACTTTGTGGCTCCATTTCGGAGGACAGACAGGCTTAAACAAGCCAATCACAGGAATGTAGCCTCTGACTCTTGTCCGGGCTCCGGGTCTCACAACCCCACACAAGAAAGGGATCCTAGGCAGAGCGGCAACTGGTACAGCCAGCATGCTTTTCTCTCTTTGTTTTACTTGCTGTGTGGACCAGACAGCCACCTGAGTCTTGAGGTCCAGAAGGACAGTCCGTGCCCACACAAACATTCCGCTCACCATTCTGTCCTTTCTACTTCTCAACAGATGATCGCTCTGACGTGATGTGCACAGACAGCAACGGTCAAAATGACAATCAGGCCATTATAGTCCCGACCAGGATCTACCCCACCACTGCCCAAGGCTGCCTGCTTCTGGGACACTGTAAACATTCCCAAATAGCCCTGCCTGGGCAGCCAAGAGACAAGTCGGACGCCAGGGGCACATATGAAGTGAAAGGCCGCTGGTGTCACTACACCCTCCTGGGAAGGAAACTTCCCTTTGGTAGCGCCTAGCAGACCTACAGCAGGGTCAGATGGCTGGCTACAGGCCCCCAGTCCAGTGAGAGGTCGACCACCCACGGGCCTGGGCTGTGCTCAACACAGTGAGGTTTTCAAAACAAAAGCAGGACAAGTTCATGTGGCAAACGCCCCAGAATGGAGGGGCAGGCCTTCCAACACATGCTTCATTTGAAGCAAGACTCCCCCATCCACCCACAGAGAGATAAACCGAATTAACTGAGAAGACAGCTACGTGCTCGGCTCTGTTTTTCACGCCATGACTGGCAGAGCCCCAACAGAACCAGCCCCCTGCAAACCCATCGGGCGCCAGCAACAGGTGCAACTCGGGCTAAAGCTTGTGGTTCCGGGCGGTTCTAGAAAAATGCATCCCGAATCTTCCAGGAAGCCACGGCCTAGCAGCGCCCACTGCCCGGCGGTGGCGACCTTCCCTGCGGGCCGCACCTGTCTGAGTGCAGCGCGCCACATCCGGTGCACCCGAGCCAGGGCCTAGGAGACCGAAATAGAAGCCGGTTAGGCCGGGGCTGGGAGCCCGGCTAGGGGCACGGGGCCTGACTTGGCAGTCGCGGCCCAAGGAGCCAGCACCTGGGGGTCCCAGCGCGCAGGACCTGGCCAGGCAAGTGGCGACAGGCTGCGCGTCCAGCGTCCCTGCCCCAGAGCAGCCACCTGCCTGCCAGAGCCCGGCGGGAGCCAGGGAAAGGGAGGCCGGGGAGGGATCCGGGCTGGGGTGGGACTGCAAAGAGGGTCCCGGAACGCGGTGGGAAAGCCGAGGGGATCTGAGGGATCCAGGTGAGAACCAGAGGGGTCCAGAAGAGCCGGGTGCAAGTGCAGAGGGAGTCCGGGGGCATGCAGGTGAAAATGCAGACCGGGTCCCGGCGGTGTAGGAGGGTCAGGGAAGGAAGCTCGGAAAGGGATCCTGGGGGCCCCGGGGGGTCGCAGGAGAGGCTCCAACAGGGTTCCCTAGGTTTCCCGCGGGAGGGGGGTCCCGGTGACCCGCGCACCTGCCCAGCCCCGCGCGCGCTCCTCCCGCGCCGGCCCAGTCGCTTACCTGGAGCGCGAGTCCGAGCCGCGGCCGCTCTCGGCCGGGGCCGGCCGGGCTAGCTCCGCGCCAAGAATGGCGGCGGCGTTGGTGGCAGCGACGACAGAGGCAGACGGCGCCGAGAGATTTGCGACGGGGAGGCCGGCGGCGCGGAGATGCTGCGGCGCGCGAGGGCGCGGAGGCCGGCGTGGGGACGGAGGGCGCGGGCCGAGCGTGCAGGCCCCACCCCCTTTCCCTCCCTTCCCGCCTCCTCCCCTCCCCCTCCCAGCTCTGCCCTCCCTTCGCCCCTCCCCCTTCCTCCTCCTCCCTCCTCTCACCCCCAACCTCTCTCTCCTTCCTTGCCCTACCGTGCCCCGCCTCTGTCTTCACCTTCCCTAATCTCTCTCTCCAACCCCACTGTTTCCCTCCCTTCCTTTCCTTCCCCATCCACCTTCCACCACGTCTTCCTCTTTTCCCCAACTCCCTCTTCCTCCTTTTCCTCCCTATCTTCCTTCCACCTCTCACCCAGCTCCACCTCAGGCCTGGAGGTCTTGGCCCACGGGCCCCATCCTACCCTAGCCTGATTTCTTGAAAAAGGAGATTCCCAGCAAAAGGAGCTTGTTCCTTCCTTTCAGTCTCCCAATGATCCAACTTGCCCCTCCAGGTCCCCAAAGTCTCCTGCACTTCAGGCTCTGCTGACACCAGTGTTGACAGCAGAGATGCTGGGCTCTTGGCTTTGTGACCTATGGCAGCCCCTTTGGGGTTTTCAGTTCAAGGTGTGGGCAGTCCCTCCTGTGGTAGGTTGACTTTGCTAAAGGTTTCTCAGCTTCCTTTTGGATCAGTTTCCTGTAGACACATTTCTAACGTATTCTGGGCTTTCCGAAGTTGCTGCAGAGGGCGGGACATGGCCGCATCCTTAACCTGTTTACCGAGGTTGGTGCCTCAGAACCCACATTTTAAAAAAGCCCCAAACAGTGGTGCTTTCTTGTAATCCTAGTGTTGAGGCAGAGGATACTGGTGGGCCCCTGGATGGAGCTTACTGTCTGGCCAGCCTGCCTCACTTAATCACTCAGATTAGTCTCAGATTCCAGGAAGAGACTCTGTCCCCTAAAACTAAGAGGACGAAGCAGAATATTGTATACATAATAAATAAATAAATCTTTAAAAAATGAAAACAAAACTTAAGTGGACAACAACAGGTTGCCCTCATGACATACATGCGTGGTGAGCACGTTTGGGCATGGAAACACACACACACACACACACACCAGCCACAGGCTGCTTCTCCCTTGAAGGGAGAAGTGACCCTCTGTTCACACACTAACAGCCAGGTGGGAAGTGCTGCCCAGAGAGACACAGTCCCTCGCCCCACAGGAAGCCAAGTTCCTGCCAGAGGTACCTCAGAAATGAATCAGGACCAGACTCCAGGTGAGGCCATGGCTTCCTCAATTACAACAAGGTCCTTGGGGGCTTTCAGCAGGGTTGGGGCTGATGGGAAGGCAGGCAGCTGACAGCAGCTAAACTGACTGAGCCTGTCCTAAAGGTCAGAAGGTCCAGGTGAGAGTAAGTAAGGGTCAGGAAGCTTCTCCAGGATCGTTCTGCCTGGCAGTGCCTGACTCAGCCAACCAGAGCAGAACTAACCAGAGCAGGGTGGGTTGTCCTGGCTCTATAACTCTTAACCTGTGGGTCGCAACCCCTTTGGGGGATCAACAACCCTTTCACAGGGGTCGCCTAGACCACAGGAAAACACAGATATTCACGTTACGATTCATAACAGCAGCAAAATTACAGTGATGAAGTAGCAATGAAAGTAATTTTATGGTTGGGGGTCACTACGGTGTGAGGAATGGCATTAAAGGGAGGTGGAGAGCCATTGCTCCAGGTCATGACTCAGCTGGACTCTTGCTTCCTTTGCCTCCAGGTTGATCTTAGGCCTCAGCTCTCCATGAGAGAAACATATGAGCAGCCTTGGGGAGTGCTGCAGGAGGATGGCCAGGGAACAGTGGGCAGAGCATGTACAGCCCTGGGCCCTGGTTCAATGCGACCATTACAAAGAAAAAGAGAGGCGGCTGCTCTAGGCTTTCTTCCTGTTCTGAGTGTTGCTGCGCCCCTGTCACAGTGCCCCAGGAACAGGCTAGTCCTAGGCCTGCTTAACAGCATCCTGTACCCAGGAAGGAAGGTACACTTAGGATGTGGATACCAACATAAATCCAAGTGTTAGAGGCAGAAGGGACTCCCTCATTCTTCACAGGGGATGAATGTCTAGAACATTGCCCCCTTGCTTGGCTAGCCAGCAGCAGCCTGGGGGTGGGGGTGGGGGCCAGGGGACACTCTAGATGCCTCCAACCTGGAAAATCCCCCTGCACAGCACAAGGCAGTGGGACCCACATGGCTGCAAATTGCCTAGAGCAGAAGGAGGGCCCTATAGGATCATGAACAGCAGAACCGGACACAAGGGTGCCAATTAAAGGAGAAAGCAGCTTTGCACCTGCTGAGCGAGATTCTGAGTGATTGCTGAGCTGACTGCCCCCATGGGAGCCTGCCCTCAGATCTCAGTCTGGGCAGGAGGGAACCGGCTGGAGGGACTGCAGCTACAGGGTCATCAGAAAGGCTGAGACCTCTCCTGGCTGATAGGCCCAAGAGAGAGGGCAGCCCAGAGCTCAGCAGAAACTGTAGTGTGGCTGTCCTGGAGCCAGAGGGGATGGGTAAGAAAACAAACAAACAAACAAACAAACAGAACCATTTAATTGCTCTCCAGCAAGCCCAACCTGCAGTCAGGGCTGCATATCCTGGTCCCTTTGATAGACTGGGACCCTGATTTAGTCTGTCTTTTTATTGCTGTTAGCATTTTGGTTATTTTTTTATGAATATATTTACATATACTTTGCGTGCATATGTATATATACGTGTGTGTGTGTGTGTGTGTGTGTGTGTGTGTGTGTGTGTGTGTATACCACCACATCCATGCAGTGCCTGCAGAGACCAACAGAGACGGTCAGACTCCCCGGAGCTAGAGTTACAGATGCTGTGAATTGCTCTACACGGGCGCTGGGAACCACCTTCTTTGCGAGAGCAGCAAGCACTGTCCCCACAGAGATGGAGCCATCTCTCTCCCCAACCAACGTTTTATCATTGCACATTTTGAATAGATGTGTGTGATCACAAAATGGACCCAATCCCGCATTCGCTCTAACCAGCTTCCTCCCTGAAGCATATCGTTTGTCCAGAAACGCCGAGTGTTTGACGCTTAGGCCGAGCTATAAGTTCTCTACATTTTTCTGCGACAGCATTGGCATCCTCTAATGGCTAGATGCACAAGCTACCTGCAGAGATGAGACTGGAGCGTCACAGGAGAAAGCCTCTCAGGTTTGGTAGCTTCGGTGGCACAGTCCAGACTTGCCTTGGCCCATCCTCTGAGCAAACACATGGATCCCTGGGCCCCCAGGCTTCTGCCTCACAGCCTGAAGTAGGAGGTGCCTAAGGCTGGCTGGAGGCTGTGTCCAGCCACCCAAGGGGGGCATAGGGGAGCAGGTCAGCACAGTGACCACGGTGACCACCCCCTGGACAGAGAGATACCTACCCCCCTGCATGTTTGACATCTGCCTCAGGAAACATGAGTATATGTCGTGTGTGTATGTGTGTGTGTGTGTGTGTGTGTGTGTGTGTGTGTGTGTGTGTGTCTATGTGTTGCGGGGGTTATGCATGTGGGTGTATGTGGATGCCTGTATACAGAGGCCAAAGGACAACCTTGAGGGTCATTCCTAGGACACCTGTCCATCTTCACTTTGTTCTTGTTTGAGAGAGGGTCTCTTGCTAGCTTGGAGCATTCAGAGCAGGCCAGCCTGGTGAGCCCCAAAGACCCCAAGAGCTCCACCTGCCCCTGCCTCCCCAGCCCAGGATTACAAACACATCCAACAAAACACCAGTTTTGTTCTGGTTTGTAACATGGATCTGGGACTAGAATCCTGATACAGACATCTTCCCGGCCCCCAGGGAGATGTCTTCTAAATAGAATCTGCAGCATGGGACAGTATTTTAATTATTCTACCTCCACAGTAGCCGCCACCCCCATCCTGTCTCTGTCTTTTCCCCTCCACAACCTCAGGATCACCCTTTCCTGGAGAGCCTCACCAAAGCAGCCATCATCCCTGGGGACTGTCTGAGGCCTCCTGAAGCCCCACCCCCCTGCATACCCATATCCCTCTTTCCCTAAACTCCGAGCTGCTCTGGTTGCAGAGTGTTAAGTGGGACCCGCTGAGCTGCTGTGGATGGTACTGCTGCTTTCTGCTTCCTGCATCTCAGTTGTCAAGCCTGAGTACTAACTAAATCGGCTTGAGGCCTATAATCTAGCCCTCGGGTGCACTCTCATTGCAGCGTGGGCCAACTCTGTGAGCACACAGCACGGTTACAGAGCTGTTCCTTGCCATCTTCCAAAGAGGTTGTGCCTTGTTCCAGTGTAATCACAGGAGAACTGAGTCAGTGACGGCGAAGGCGGACAAGACGGGGTTGGCAGCAAGAGCGACCTCAGCATTAGCAAAGCCTTTTTGACCTTCAAGGCATCTCTGCCATCAGCTGCCAGAGCCATGGGGCCTCCCTGCCCTTTCTTCCCCCCCCCCCCCCCCCCGCTGTCTGAGACCTGCCGTCACTTCCTCCCACTACTCCCCAGTGGAGCTAAGTCCCCCACTCTGTCCAGCAGCCAGGATGGCACCCCACTGCCCCTCACCACCCGTTGGAGCTGCTGTCAGCTTCCACCAGAATTGCTTCTGGGTGTTTTTCTCCCTTCTCTGAGCTGTTTGGTATCTCCCCAGTCTGGTCAAGGCTGCAGATGTCTCCAGGCTCAAGGGAAAGCAGTTATCCAAGTGTTGCTAAGTGTGGTCTTCAGAAGCAGCAGAACCAGGATGTCACTGTTCTGGGGTCACAATAAACTACCTGCCCAGCCTGGTGGCCACTGACATACGGGGGCCACTGTGACTCCCACTGGCTAACATTAAGCACACAACAGATGTGACTATTCGTGATTTTGTGAGGAAATATATTCAATTTGTAGACATATCTGCTTATTCTTGCAACAATTGCACATGCAATCTGAGTCATATCTGCCACGGCCTCCTGTCTCCCCTTCCGCCTAGACCCCTCCTGTCTTCACGCCCCCACCACCTCTTTTTTTGTAAAAACCCACTGAGTCCAGTTAGTGCAAGCAGCTGGAGTTTTGACGGGCCTGGTTGACTTATTTGTG